AATATTTTTTATTTTAAATAACAATCATTCTATCTTGATAATTTTTAATGATAACTTTTAAATAATTTATTGTTTTATTTTTCTTAAATAATTTACAGATTTAAAAAAAATGTAAAGAAAAACCAAAAACCAAATCTAAAAACTAAAATCCAAAACCAAAGCTGAAAACACAGGTTATATTTTTTGCTTTTTTATTTACAAAATAAATTATTTCAAAATTTTTAGAAAATTATTTTGTCATCTTTTCAGTTTTAAATTACATGTTCGATTAATTGAGATTTGTTTGTTGGTAATATCAGTTCAAACTAACTCAGCGGATCTAAAAACTAAAAACCCGAACCAAAAGCTGAAAATCAAAAATAGAAACTTAAAAACTAAAAACCAAAAACTAAAATTTAAAACAAAATCTAAAAATAAAAACTGAAACTAAAAATTAATGAAAAACTACTATCACCACAAATTTTGGTAAATTAATTTTATACCAAAACATTCTTTAAATTAAGAAAAAACTCAATTATATAAATTTTTAATCATAAAAATTTCTGCGCTTTTCAAGCGCGAATCAAAATCTAGTATAAATTATATAACACAAACCAATTTGTATAAACATATCATTTTATATATATTCGCACTACTGCATACTGATTTAGTCTTGTTATTAACTCATATATTTTAATCGTTTTGTGACTCTAACGCACAGATCTATACATATTCCCAATCGGCGATTTTATGTGCTGGATAGATCCAAAGCCGTCGTATGTTTCGTTGATCATTATAGTTAAGAGATAATTTGCTCTCTCACCCTTTTGGGAGCCTATATTAGGTAAATATCCATGATAATAATTATCTTTTTTTTATGATGAAATTGCCCTTTTCTCACTCCTTCTTACATGTGGGTGTGTCAGCTTTTTTTCTCATTTTCGTTAGAAACTCACTCTCTCTCTCTCTTATTCTTTCTTCAATTATGTTTATTCTCTTCTCTTTTTCTTTTTTTCTCCTTGTAATTTAAATGAATGTTGAAAGAAAATTTGTTATTTTTTTTATTTTAATCTACTTTGATTTTTAAAAAAGAAAGTTGAAAATCTATAAGTCTATTAACACCTCTGATACGTATACTTATTAACAACTAACACCTCTGTTAACATTGGAAACATGTTTTTGTTAACAGCTAAAATCTCTGTTAACATCTACATTATTTATTAACAGCTAACATCAACGTTACCATCTTTGGTACATCTATTTGTTAACATCTAATATATTTGTTAACATCTACAATATTTATTAACAGCTAACAATTCGGGTACATATATCCGTTAACATCTAACACTTCTGTTAACAAATATTGCAATGATGATTTTCTCAATCTGTGGTGTAATTAAACAAATCAATACTTTATTTCGTGTGTCAATTAGTTTTTAATGAATAAAAATTATTTTGTTTTGTGTTTCAATTAGTTTTTAATGAATAAAAAAATTGAATGAAAAAATATAGAAGGAAAAAAATATAATAAGAAATGGAAAGAGAGTGTAAGAGATGAGAAGAAAGAGAGTGTCAGATTAGTTAATGAATCGCAGAGGAGTTGAAAATGGAAGAAAGACTTTATCGTCCAACCAAAACACAATTGTATGAAATTTTGTTATTATGTCTTATCATGGGCATTTCCCTAATTAGAACCTCTATTTTGGACATTTCCCTAATTCTCTCTATAGTTAAACTTTACAACAGTAGCAAGTACTTTGGAAAGGAATCTGACTGCTGTAAGTTTCACAACGGCAATTAATAACATTCTGTCGACGAAGGTTATAGTATTTATGACACACTCTTTTCCCGTAATCAATGCATCTTCCATGTATAGTTTTCTCTTCAAAGATGCCTGCAGGGCATTTCCCAGCTCCCACATCTAGTGTTTTAGTTAAAAAAATTATGAATTGCAGTTAGGAAAGAAAAATCCTAAATTGTCAATAAAAAGGGAATATTTACTGATATACTTTACCTTGAACATATGCCAAAATAAAAAATATGAAGCACACGTAGTGTATCTTTGTTAAATATATATGTATACGTAGCATATCTCATGACTTATGAAATATAAAAGATTATCGCTTTCAGTTATAGAGTGTTATTGTTTATCTTACCCTAGATATATATATATGTTCATATCTTGCACTTAATGGTCTATTTTACACGTAAAACATTCAGGACACACATTATTCGTGATTTTTTTTTTTTTTTGGAACTTATTCGTGGTCTCATGACATAAATATATAAGATTATGCTTTCAGTTATAGAATGTTATTGTTTATCTTACTCTCCCTCCCTATATATACATGTTCCTATCTTGCACTTAATGGTCTATTTTACACGTAAACATTCAGGACACACCTTATTCGTGTATATATATACCTCATATATCATGACATGAGTATATAAGATTGTCGCTTTCAGTTATAGAAAGCTATTGTTAATCTAACTTTAACATTTGATTTGCAACATATTTTTAATAGTGATCGTTCAATTCATATTTGATCCAAACTATTCAGAATTCTACATATAATTATGCAAATTTTACAAACACTAGATCTTTTGGCCGCGCTACGCGCGGCTATTCTTTTAAATAAAATTTCTAGTCATATTATATATATATAATATATTGTATAATTAAACTTATAATTTAAAACAAAAACAATATAATGTTAAATTAAATAGAAAAAATAAGGATTGACAAAATCATTATAGTTAATGTAAGTAAGAGTTTCATAAAAAATATTAATAATGAACAATTTCTTTTACAAAATATAGATTTTCTAGTTTTTTTCTAACAGAACCTTCATTTTATTTTTGGTATAAATAACTTACATATTAATTACTGTAATATTTTAATCTGTAGTTTTATATTTTCTATCTTCAAAATGTTGGTAAAAATAACCACTATCAAAATCTGAAATTAAGTATATAAAATAAATTGAATTTTATTTAAATTTAAAATGATATTATATAAATTTAGATTGTATATATTTTTTGTTATGAATAATTTTTATTTTATCCTATTTATTTATAAACTGGATGATATTAATTTATCCTTGCCATCAATATTTTGAATACCAAACCGATATTTAACTTGACATTGCAGTTAGATCAATGGTCTCACAGGTTTAACTGGGTTGTAAATGTAATTTAATTTTAAGTTAAGTATCTATATATATTTATAATTATAAAATTATTTTAAAGATCTTTTATCCTTGTTTGAAGCTAAAATGATATAGAAATAGAATAAAAACTTCAAAAATAATATAAAATATAATGAAAAATAATTTATTAAACAATACATGTTTTTATTAAAGTTTTTTTTTAAAATTTGCTTTTTTAACTTAACTTTGAAACAAATCTGAGTTTAATATCATACTGGACTATCAGTTTTAGCGAGTAACCGGTTCTTAAACCGAATTTGTTGGTTTATTTTTTTGTTTGAAATTACTTTCTTTTGTACGCGTTATTTGTTTGTTAGTTAGGTTTGTATTTGAATGTATTGATTGTGTTTGACGTTCTTAGTTTCTGAAAATGTTTGCGATAAGATGATTGTTGGTGGACCAATTGATGGAGTATAAGTGAGTTTGAGAGATGGTGAGAACAATTAGTTTACAAAAAAAGGGTTTACAAAGTGTATTTGTTTATGTTTACAAAATGGCCCGTTCAAATTTATGGTTAATTTTTTTGCCTAAGAAACATTCCTTTAGAACTTCTTTTTTGTAAGCTCTTTTTCATTTCTAATGATATTAACATTTTAGCAAAAAGAAAAATTTATGGTTATTCAAGAATTGAAATTGATGTGTAGGCCACTCACAACTTCCACCATATTTTGCGTCTCTTTTGAGATTAGAGTCGCCTCCTCCATCTTTATGAGTCTCCAGCTTCTCTTGTGGTGTCCCCTCTCTTCTCATCCACCTCATTCCCTCTCCACACTTATTGTTTGTGCTTATTACTTTGCCGTCACCAACTCTTCCTCAACCAGGTTACTTATGTCAGAATTTACTCTCTTTTTTAGTTTTCAATAATCTTATTTTAATGAAATGTGGACAACACTATTTTGCTTCTTGCAACATTAAATAAACCGGGATAAAATATACTCGCGGAGCGTTGTTTAAGTTGGTTGTTTTTTGGGTTGTAGATCTTCATATGTTGGAATTTAATGGAAAAAACATTGGGATGACATGAAAAGGGGGAGCTTATATTTGTAGTATAGATTTAATATATGCTTTCTTTGTTGTTCATAGTGAAGAAAATGTGCGTGTATACTATGAAATGATTGTATTACAGGTTAAATATATTATTATGAAATGTATCTTAGTGTTATATTCGCTAAACGATTTAGAATGTAAATGGGATGAGTTTTAAATGGGACAGGTTAACTGAGGCGGATTTATTCATTTTAGTAACATCTTTAATAGTAAGTCGGGCATATTTTGTTTTTTTTTTTTTTTACATCAAACGGCTGTTCTATTACTCAAAAACACTTGAGGTGGTCTGGGAATCCAGACCGCAATAGAACAACCAACGTACACAAGTTTACGATAAAAAGACCTAGCTGTGTTAGCTAAAGAATCAGAAACGCCGTTCTGTGCTCTATGAACATAACAAATCTTGAATTCAGGAAAGCAGATCTTCAATGTCTCCAACTTTTCCATATTTTGTTTTGTGATAGTATATAAGTGTGTATATAGTTATTTTTTTAAATGGCATCAATTTTATGTTATTATGTATTAATACTTTCTTGGCGTATATCTCAGAAAAAATGCTACGGTTCATAAAGTGAGTTCGCTTTACGAACAATAGATAAAAGTGAGTGATCTGATTTTCTTTTTTAAAAAGTGAGTGACACAAAATCATAAAGAGTTTGAGTGGTAATGTCAAAGGCATTTATTTTTGTTATTATTACATATTCAATAATGGCAATATTCTTGTGTACTTTACAAATTTGATCATCAAATTCGAAGCAAGAGTTGTTCTTCGGTGTAAGATGAAAGAGTTGTTGTATACGAAAACATTGGTAAATAAAAAAGATCTATAAGCAAGCATCTGTTCTCTAGCTGGGTTGTAGGGCAAGGAAAGTTTGACCTAGGAAACGTAGTGACCAAGCCACGATAACAAAATGTAAAAACCCCATCAATGAAAAGATTCAATAAACAATGAAATTCTAAACCATTATTCTAATCCTTTATAGACTTTGCCACTCGCTAAGCTAGAAAACTAAGAATTGAGTGTTTTTCCAATGCTATCCTCCTGCACTCCTGCTTCCTCAGCTGTTACTTCACCGGTAACAGTTGCATGATGGACGCCTCTTTGAGCAGCTGCATCATGCAGGGGAAACTTTGGTGACGGTTTCTGAGGGCTTAGTAGCCACTGCTCTAGCTCCGGTCATGTTATCTCCTGGGTTGTTATCATTACTAAAGAACCATTTTAAAAAATAAACAACATAAACAATAAACATAGAACTGTTTCAAACTATTGGTTAAACGTACACCTTCGGAAACGTTTGGCATTGGTGGACGTTGTTTCCAGTCAGATATCCTGGAAATGGTGAAGGAATGAGGAGAAGTTAAATGGGGATAGCCTCAACTTCAGGGTGAAAGTACCCCCAACCAAATCTCTTCCTGCGAGCACTCAAAAAAATGTTTAAGCTGATGAAGCTGCACCCTTGTTCCTTGGCTTCGCTTCGGTACCTAAGCAAAAAGGTGCACCAGTTAGATTACAAACATACACTATTCAATCTGGTGAATGGCAAAGAAACATAAGATAGTGAACAATGATTGAAGAAGTTACCTTCTCTGAAACCAGTCTTGAACCTGCGAGGCACATTGCGAAGATACCTCGTCCTTCCAGTTCCGGTCGTCTTTCTACGGATTGCCTTCACACTCCAATTATCTACCAAAAATGAATACACACATCAAATTACTCACATTTCACATTTTAGCAATATAATGAAACAGATAAGTCAAACATAAAACAATAAAGCAGATGTCTTGTGTACTAATGTCTGATTCTCACAAAATGAATTTATTTGACGAAAAAAGATTTAATCGAAGTACCACCAATTTTGTCTGAGAATCAATGAGATTTGCAATATACTAACATATAATATCCTTCTGGACATGTGGAAGCTTGCTAATATATAATAAAAATATTTCACATCGCTTACTCCGTGACCATGTATCTTTTGATCGGTACGGCGAAGGAGGCAGCAGAGGTTTCATCGGCTTGGCGGAGGAAGCACCGGATTTGCCACCATGTTTAATCCGCTCGGCTCCATCATTTCCGTTTGGTTGCTTGGAGCTAAGATCGCCGGAGACGGTGGTTTTGCTGTTCAAATCCATCGTAATTTTTGAGTTTGAGAGTATAGAAAATTCTGAGAAAAAATCAGATATAAAGAGATGGGAGGAAGGCGAAACGAACCAAAAAATGCATGAATCATTTCACAGAGATGGAGAGACGCAATGGAGGCGATGGATCGGCTTCATTTGAGAAGATGAAACGGAAAAGAACCAGAGAAAAAACAGAGGGACTCGCGAGAGAGAATGGGGTGATAGATGGGCTTAAGGGGAACTAATTTGATAAGAGCCCAATAATCCGACTTTTGTGTGATGACGTGGTGAAAGGCAGTGATCCTATTGGCTAATTATTTTCGGTGACGTGTACATCTTCTCTGTTGATTATATGTTACTTTTATTAATAGTAGATTTATTTATAATTAATTATTCTATATACTTTATCTTATTTGGGTTGTATATGTCTTTGTTATATGTACAACTTCATGTTTATACTCGGTCATAAAAATATTATTTCTTTATATTTGAATTTACAGTTCATTTTCGAGTGCGGACATAATCTTCTGGATGTTTAACTAGTTGAGATTCTTTAATCCTCCCATTTGAGATGGTGACAATTCATGTTCATACATCTCGTACTAGATCTCACTCTAGAACCAATAACAAATTCAGTTACTGATTTCAGGTCATGAATTATGTTTAAAATATTTTATGTGGGATCATGATTTGGATATGCTTAAAGCAGCCATATCCTATGAACTTGTTTGATTTTCTCATGATGGTTTCTTTTATTAAGATATACTATACATGAAAATTTTCTGGTTTTCAACATTTCACAATAATATCGATAACAATATTGGATATGATGCTTATACTACTATATACACTTTTGTCATCATTTTATTCTGCACATCTTTCTATCATAAACTCTTTTAGATCCAATAATGATTTTTGTATTACAAGATATTGTACTTACGATCTCCAAAGTTACATTGATTTTGAGAGAAAATGATATTTGTTACCTTTAGTAACCATGTATGAATAATTATCTGTTAAATGTATATCATCATCCTAAATTTCAAAATATTGTGTCTTTCCAATTTAACTCATAAAATATGCATTGATATAAATATTAACATTTACTTGAAAACAAAACTACAATCATAATATAAAACATGAAGTATTATTTTTTTCATGAAGATAACTATTATATCACATCAATTTCATTATTCGTTGATACTTTCTCAACTAACCAAAAAATCTGAAACGTCGAGATGAGTATCATCATTCATACCATGAAAAGATAGTGCGAGTCCATCAAAAATTAAAGTTTGTTTCACTTTCTTTATCTTTTGTCGTTTTGGATTCTCGACATTGATCAGTTAAATGTTTTTGGGTATGACAAACACACATAACTAATTCCCTTTCATGCCGCATCTGTAACATTTTTTTTCAGTTTGAGTTTTATCATCCTGGCTGTAGAAGTTTTTCTTATTTCTTTCGTAATAAAAAGGAAATCTTCTTCTTCGTCCTCGTCCTCTTTTACGACCATGATAGCAGTTTCTGTCGCGTCTACGTCCTTGTCCTTCCAAGCTATTATATTTTTTTGTAGTAAAACATCAAGTATAACCATAACTCACCTTTCTAGTATAAAAACTTTCGTGTTGAGAAATTGGTGAGTTATATAATATAGGTATTTTTATTCAATGTAATAACTTTACTAACAAACTAAAAGGAGAAAGAAGAGAAATGATGTTGCTGTAGAAAATACAGAGCAAATTATGAAATTTCTTATTTCATTACCTTTGTTATAATGATCCTACTCGGCTACAATCTGCGCTTGAAAAACGCAGAATTGTTTATGCTTAACAAATTTATTAATCCATCGATTTGTTCAGTAGTATGTATATGTTTTGTACTTTGTCATGTTCCAGTCCGTTTTGGGGGTTTTCGGTCGGTATTACATTTTTAGATTTTTGGATAAAATATAGTATAAAGCAGATAAAAAGTAATAGGGTAATCCGATTTATAATATTTGATCATTTTAAAACTAAATATATATATAACCGTATTTTGAATAAAAATAATGAGATTTTTGCCAAAACTAACCCACAACTTGGTTTTAACCCCAATACTAGACCCCAACTTGAATCAAATGCAAATCTAACCTAAAAGGGCTATGAAATTACAGTATAGTGCTCTGTGACCAAACAAAAAAACAGAAGACATTTTTACGAATATAACCCCAGAAAGTTGTCTGGGTCGGCTGAGTTACTTTTCAGTCGTCTGGACGACTGAAATGTTAGTTGTCTGGACGATTGAATCTTAAAAATAAGAGATAATTGGCTAAAGTGCCCTATTTGGCATCTATAATTAGAGAATTACACATGATGTGACAATTACTTTCCTTTGGACCATTTTGCCCTTCTCTACACTCTCTCTCCTCTCTTTGACATCTCCCCTCTTTTTTTTACGCTTCAGTCCCTAATTATTTTACAAATTTCTATCATTTTATATGCAATTAAATTTTAAATTTCATTATTTTTTCATAAGTGACTTTGAATCCTCAATTTTGACCCTTTTTTTTTTCTCTCCAATCCCTAATTATTTTACAAATCTCTATCATTCTATATACCATTAAATTTTAAATTTCATTATTTTTTTCATAAGTGGCTTTGAATCCTCAATTTTTTGATGATATCAATTTCTGGGTTTTAGATTCGACGTCGTGTTAGCGGTTAACAAATATTGTAGACGTTAACAGAAGTGTTAGTTGTTAACAATTATTTTTACGCTTCGCTGTAATAAATGTGTTCGCTGTTAACAAATATTGTAGACGTGTTAACTGTTAACAATTATTTTTACGCTTCGCGGAAATAAATGTGTTGGCTGTTAACAAATATTGTAGACGTTAACAGAAGTGTTATATGTTAACAAATGTTTTTACGTTTCGTGTTAATGAGAGGAAAGAGAAATGGCATTCTCGACATTTCCTTGCCAAATGGTTGTGTCAGTGTCATTCATGTCCAATCAATGGTATTTTGCTAATTTGAGTTTCAAATATGGGTAGTTCACTAAATCACTCTAAAAATAATTTATAAATTCTGTGCAAAATATTTTGATGAGTGAAAAATTAAAAACATGTAATTATAAACATTTATAAGTGATATAAATTAAGAAATGATAAAGTTGATTTTTTTTCAGCATAGATGAGTGGAAGTAGTGAATCATGATATTCTTTGGTTTAAGGGTTTGGCAAACATATGTTGTAGTATTGTATGTAATCTTAGGGTTAGATTTTGAAAAGCTGAAATGTTTTTTTGAAAAAATTAATTTGACCTCTATGTGTTTATTTCTGTGTATAGTAAACATTTTTCAAGGTTAAATTGATGTTTCGAAGTGTTTAATTAGAGAATAAAGTTTAGGGGTTATGTTTAGGGATTAGACGACTGAAATTTCAGTCGTTTGCTTTAATTTATTTCCCAGACGACTGAAATTTCAGTCGTCTGCTTTAAATTATTTCCCAGACGACTGAAATTTCAGTCGTCTGCTTTAAATTATTTCCCAAACGACTAAAATTTCGTCTGCTTTAAATTATTTCCCAGACGACTGAAATTTCAGTCGTCTGCTTTAAATTATTTCCCAGACGACTGAAATTTCAGTCGTCTAATTGTACCGAACCATTAATTTTAACATTTTACGTTTTAACCTAACCGGATTTTTACCGGACATATAAAAGTTATTTTTTCACTTTTTCACAATTTTCCGAAACCCTAGCGCCGTTTCTCTCCAAAGACGATTGTAAAGGCGATTTCGACGAATCTCTCTGATTTCGACGAATCTCTCTGTTTTCGCCGGTAATCTCTCTGATTTCGACGAATCTCGTTTTTCTTTCATGCCTTAGAGTATTTTCGTAGTTTAAACTGACCATCCGCTTCTTTTTTTTTCAGATCTGAAATCTCGTAGCCCTTTCCTCCGCCGCCGGTATGTTATATCTTATGTTTTAAGGCGTTTAGCCGCCGGAAAACCCTAAAAATTGTAGTCTTGACTCTTCTTTTCCCTTCGATATGCAGATCTGTAACCGCTAGGGACCACATCTTCTCCGACTAAATCTTCTCCGACTATAAGTCGTCATAGTTGTCTTCTCACTTCCTGGAAGCCTTCTACGAAGTCTTACTCTCTGGACGACTTACATGTAAGTCGTCCAGAGAGTAAGACTCTGTAGAAGACTTCCAGGAAGTCGTCTGCGTAGTTTTCTCACTTCCTGGAAGCCTTCTACGAAATCTTACTCTCTGGACGACTTACATGTAAGTCGTCCAGAGAGTAAGACTCTGTAGAAGACTTCCAGGAAGTCATCTGAGTAGTCTTCTCACTTCTTGGAAGCCTTCTACGAAGTCTACTCTCTGGACGACTTACATGTAAGTCGTCCAGAGAGTAAGACTCTGTAAAAGACTTCCAGGAAGTCGTCTGAGTAGTCTTCTCACTTCCTGGAAGCCTTCTACGAAGTCTTACTCTCTGGATGACTTCATGTAAGTCGTCCAGAGAGTAAGACTCTGTAGAAGACTTCTAGGAAGTCGTCTGAGTAGTTATCTCACTTCCTGGAAGTCGTCTGCTAGTCTTCTATAGTATTTAGAATAGTGCGCTACCTTTGTGGTTGAGATGGTTGTTTGTGATTGTTTGCAGGCCTTAAAATGGATATATAAGAACTGCCGCCGAGGTTGTTTACATTAGGAGAAGAGCCCCCTGCACTGAGGAGCATTTCATATCATTCTGATGACAAGAAGTTTTTTCAAGCTCTATCTGATAATCTCAGACCTGAGGAATATGAGGATCTGAAAGCGTCAAAGTTGGGAATATTCATCAAGTTCAAGGAGCTTGGCTTTGTTTGGACTTCAAGGCTTGTACATTTTATTCTCTCCTTCCAGCTAGACATCAAGAAGAAGTTTGAGCTTTGGACTCTTGCCGGACCAGAACCTTTGAGGTTTTCGATTCTAGAGTTTGAAAACCTCACAGGTCTGAACTGCGACTACATCCCGGATTTGTACATG